TAGCATTTCTAGCCAGTGTTAAATGGCTAAGACACACTTAGATGATGGTAGACGGTAGAATCCACAAGGATACTTTCTGTGGTGAATTACAGATGTGTAGAAAATGTCAAAGCCAGGCTCTACTGCAGTGTACAGATATGTGCACATGGGACATGAATGATACAGGTAGTGAGGTGGGTTTCTGGGAATGAGATGTTGTGGATTGTTTTACACTGAAAGGGTTAGGGGATTAGAAAGAATACAGGAAAAAGAAGAAAATGACTGTAACAATGATAAAAGCTGAGCATCTGAGAAGAAGCACATAAAATACATGCAATGGAAACAAGCTTTTTTCAAGCTGGTTACATGCAATGGAAACAAGCTTTTTTCAAGCTGGTTGCATGCAATGGAAACAAGCTTTTTCAAGCTGGTTGCATGCAATGGAAACAAGCTTTTTCAAGTTGTTTAAATGCAATGGAAACAAGCTTTTTCAAGTTGGTTAAATGCAATGGAAACAAGCTTTTTCAAGCTGGTTGCATGCAATGGAAACAAGCTTTTTCAAGCTGGTTAAATGCAATGGAAACAAGTTTTTTCAAGCTGATGACTCTAGGTTTTTGTAGATCAGACTGAAATTCTCTCCATAGTTTGCTAGATCTGCCTTGTGGACTACTACCACTCAGATATTATATATATGCAGTTTTAATTTCTGTGCTGCCGTCTGACATTCTCTATATATGCCCCAGCATTACAATATTTTATCTCTCATGATACCATGAATTCCTGAAATCATCTGCTCTAATTGTGAAAGATTCTTCTTAACATAAAGTGGATCTTGCTAGTCACACTCACCTTTGTCTTGGTCTGTCATTCCCATTCATAATGATGTAGACATCAGGGAGGCAGTTAGGATTTAGCTGGCACCTTAAAGACTATGCATTATGAAGACATGAAACGAGTAGAAGATATCAAAAATTTTTTCAGAAAGGCAAAAGACACTGCACCAGGTTCTAACTGGGTCAGGTATGGCCACATGGAGGCTTGGAGCGATGTAGACCTGGCAGAGATGACCGACTGCTTTAACCAGAGCATTAAGACAGCATCAGTACTGCAGGACTGGGTGCACAGCTATATAATCCCACTGCCAAAACCTTTTAGGGATCATTCAAAGCTCAGTGGCTTTAGAATCATCCCCTTACAAAACACATTTGAGAAGGTCCTGGAGAGGATAGCTGCTCTAAAGCTACAAGAATTTTTGGAAAGAGTGAAGCTTCTCCCAAGAGGTCTGGGAAGCTACAGGCCAGGAAAGGACTCTTGGGAAAATGGGCTACTTTTGCTTTTTATGTCTATGAAGGTTTCAAGAACAGACAGGAAACTATAGCAGTAGCACTAGACCTCGAGGATGCTTATAACAGAGTAAGAAATGACATCTTGATGACTGCACTGTCTATGGATGGTGAACTTGATTGCAGCTGTCCTGTATTCACATCGGGTTGCTCTCCGACTGAGCTCATGGACCTCAGAACCATGCAGTTTGGCCCCAGGACTGCCACAAAGATCCACCATCTTGCCTGTGCTCTTTAATGTATATACGAGCAAGATTGCAAGCCAAGAAGCACTAGGAGTTGGAAGGATACTGACTTTTGCAGATGATATACTTGCAAATAGGCAGGGGGAGGAGAGGGAACAAACAACCCGGGAGCTACTAGCGACAGAAGACAGAGTGACTGAGTGGTGTGCAGAAATGAGGTCTGTTGTCCACTCAGAAAAGGCCTCTGTTTTGTGGTGTTGTCTAGACAACATGATCGTTAGAGCTAATGTCGCAAGTCTCAGGATAGATGGTAGAAACATCAGCAGAGAGAGCAAACTGAAGTATCTGGGAATTTAATTTGACAGGAGCCTGTCCTTTAAGGACCACGTGGAGAGTGTTGTGGCAAGATACCAAAAAAAAAATGACTTAGTGCACTTAAGACTATGGCTGCAATTGACATAGAGCAGAGAATGCTTTTAACACTATATCAGCACCTCATCCTGTCAGTGGTTGAGTATGGCCTGGGACTGCTTACTATCTCAAAGAGTCAGATGGACAAACTAGAGAGCATACAGAACGCAGCTATGCGGGTCATTCTGGGTTGCACCAGAGATACCCCTATGGCATGTAGGTGATTCATCCTTGGCTGTTACAGGTAGGTACAAGGTCCTGCAGGTGAAGTCCTATCTTAGGGTTGCTGCAGACACAGACCACCCTTTGCACGAAGCTCTAGGCGCAGTTGAGGGTCAGAGGCTGATAAGAGGGAAGTCATTGATTCAGGCAGAAGACAGTCAGACAGGTTTGCATTCTTGAGAACATTAGGCGAGGAGAGGAGTGTGTCAAAGTGCCACCTGAACAGTCAGGCTTATGTAGTCATAATCACACAGAGCCGGAAATGCAGAGACTGGCCAGCAGGTGCAACGGAGGTAGAAATTCAGCAAATAATTCAAGATAATGCTTGCTTATAGTATTTGATAATTTACACAGATGGTTCAGTGTCAAGAGGCAAAATAAGTGCTTGGGGTTTCTTAGCAAAAGTTAATGGTTGATGTTTGGTGCAGGAAAGCCTAACATATGATACCACAACATCCAGCTTAAGATTGGAGATGGAGGCAGTCACTGCAGCTTTCTGCACCACACACACACACATTGTGATTGTAACTGACTCAGAAAGCATGCTGAGGAAGATCAGGACAAGCATGCTTCATGCAGAGTAGCATGCTTCACTGCAGAGGACATGGGTAAGGAATATTGTCTGGATTTTTCTACCGGTAAATGCTGATGTGTTGGGAATTGAACAGGTGACTGACTGGCTGGCTCTGCACAACTTGGTGGAATACTGATGCATGATAAGGCAAAGGGGGTTAGTGCCTTGTGTGAGTATGTATACAGTTCGGAGGAGCAAATGGATCACCACAGTCTGGTGAGATTGACGCAGGGGGAAGTGACGAGAGGTTCTGGCAGATGCTTGAGGCTCAGAGGAAAGGCAAGATGGACATTTATTCAGAATGCTGCTGTCACCCTCAATATCCTAACTTTTTGCTGGCTGCTGAAGACGGGGACAGAGTGCTTATGGGAATGCCCTGAGTGCTGTAATGTCAGTTCTTGAATAAAACTTAACTTCCTTTCCTACATGTTGTTAGCACAGTGTAACTTTAGCATCTGAAAAAACTGAGAGTTGCCAATAGTAACTTCTTTTCTAGTCCTGTTCTGCCTTTCAGCTATCCATCGCTTGCACGGTGAACCTCTAGTTGCTTCTATTATGTTTAATATGGTGGTAGTCTTAACAAATATCCAAACTGTTTGATTTGTTGTTTCTTGATGTGGTTTAGGATTGGTTCCATCTCACTTTATCATGTCTGACCCTGTCTCTTCTTGTCTCATTTAGAATCCTTCACAAACATTTCACTTCTAGTGGTTGGATTTTTCTGTTATTGTTGTTGATAAATTCTACATTTGGCACTAGTAACACAATATTGGTAACAAACCCTCAAGTACTGCATTTAATAATAAAAATATAGCTTCTATCTGCAGTGGCCTTAGATCAGAGTGTTTATGCTTTTCTAAAAAATACATCTGGAAGGCAAGTACACTTATCAGAACATCATCATCATCATCAATCAGCAAGTCCTGTACAGAACGTCATTCTCTCCATGGTATGTCTGAAAGTATCCCTTTCCCTAACCAGCTCTCCAGCCTCATGCGCTTTTAATGCCAATATATCTTCAGTGTGCTGTATCCATCTTAGAAGTCAACATTTTTTTTCCCCAAAGTGGCCTAAAAGCTAATAATGGAAACTATGTTTACTGGAGAAGGAAAGGGGATGCAATGGAAAACATATTAACAGTAGGAAAACTGCAGGACATACCTTGGTAAAAAAAAAACATTTCTGGAAAAATCACAAAATACCTTTGAAAATGTTCTTTTTCTTAGCGTTCATCAGCCATAAACTCAGACAGAAGGTTCTGGGTGTTTGTCCACCTCCCGATTTTGGTTTTCCAGAACCTGAATGTCACAGGCACATCTGCAGATCTGGCTTGTTTGTATGCAGACTCTTAATTCCTTGCCTCAGGCAGATGTACTCCGACTTCAAAGGATGCCCCAATCAGTCGACTCTTACGCATGCTTGTCGAGGAGGCAGTGGGTCTATTTTTGTTATCCCCGCCATGGGGCCCTGGAAACCCACACATGAACCTTTAAAAATGATTTTCAGTTTCTGGGAATATCATAATGACACTTTAAAACGATTTTCAATTTCTGAGAATATCATAATGACACTTTAAAATGATTTTCGATTTCTGGGAATATAATGACACTTTAAAATGATTTTCAGTTTCTGGGAATATCATAATGACACTTTAAAATGATTTTCAATTTCTGGGAATATCATAATGACACTTTAAAAGGATTTTCAGTTTCTGGGAATATCATAATGACACTTTAAAATGATTTTCAATTTCTGGGAATATCATAATGACACTTTAAAATGATTTTCAGTTTCTGGGAATATCATAATGACACTTTAAAATGATTTTCAATTTCTGGGAATATCATAATGACACTTTAAAAGGATTTTCAATTTCTGGGAATATCATAATGACACTTTAAAATGATTTTCAGTTTCTGGGAATATCATAATGACACTTTAAAATGATTTTTAGTTTCTGGGAATATCATAATGACACTTTAAAATGATTTTCAGTTTCTGGGAATATCATAATGACACTTTAAAATGATTTTCAGTTTCTGGGAATATCATAATGACACTTTAAAATGATTTTCAGTTTCTGGGAAAATCATGACACTTTAAAATGATTTTCAGTTTCTGGGAATATCATAATGACACTTTAAAATGACAATAAATGGTCTAGAAAACCACAAGGGTTAGGCTAAATGAATAGAACTAAGAAGTTACATATGTGTTGTTTACGCATTATTTATTTTGTCACCTTTTATTTTAATAATACTGACAATAAATATCACTTTCCTCCAGATCCGCCATGCTAGTGTGGACAGGCTGTTGGACAGGCTGACAGATCTGAGGTTTCTAAGCATTGATTTCCTCAACACCTTCCTACTGACCTATCGAGTCTTTACCACTGGCCACACTGTCCTAGAAGCATTGAAGAAAGTCTACAAGAGCCATGAGGGTGGCATCAATGATAATATATCTGGATTTAATGTTTGCGTTTCTTCTATGACTCCGTAAGTATACATATTTTCTAAAGTATTTTATACACTTGTGGGTGGCGGGACCCCATGTTGGGAGGAAAATAATAGACCCACTTTCCCACTTCTTTTTCTCCTCAACAGGAATGTCATAAAAAGCAATTAATTAGTGGTGTTTCCCCAAACCATTTCGCTGCTATGGACATATTTAGCTGTTTGCTTGCAGACTGCTATCATATCTTTGGACATTATCCAGTTTCTTGGCTCCCACTACTATGGGTGTAGAAACACATTTTAACTTCCCTTACAAACTTCCATGGAAAGAAGGGGTGGGGGTATGTTTAGGTGCATTCCACATTATCTGTTGCTTTGTTTACCACGGAAGCGGTAACTGTGTATATTTTTGCCCTGAAATGTATTTCTGATTTTGCGTTATTTTTACAAAATGGCAAGAAAACTAGTTAAAGCTGATAAAGAATTCATAAAGTTTCTTTTTAGGAGTGATAGTAACGATCATTTTTAAATGAGTGAGTCTGGTTATCTTCACGGCACTCTGTTGGACTTCTGGCCATGCGCAAGACCATGTGACCCAGAAATCAACATCGACTGGATTTGAAATGAATTGCCAGTGATCAACAAAACCATAAGGCCACAGTGAAATGATTATTAAATTCAATTATCTTCTCTACTATACAACAAACAATACATGTGTCTATTACATTGTGCAATACCCGTCTTATTTTAGTTTCTTATTATTATATGTTATTCTAGTGTAGTGGGTATCATCCACCTTACACATCAGGTGCCTTCAACCCCTCTGGCCTTTTTTTCTTGTGTGTGTGTGTGTGTGTGTGTGTGTGTGTTTTAATTGTAAATAATTTTTCAAATCTAGCACTTTCTGCAATGAATGTCCCAAGTATTTATTTAAAAAAAAAATAAAAAATAAAAATAACGCATTACAGTTAATTATGATTAGGGTAAAGAGGAGGTAACTTCACCAGTCAAGTTTTGTGTGGCGGTGAAATAGGCCAAGGGATGGTAACAGCCTCAGATGGGCTTAGGGACAGTGACTAAAGGTATGGCAGCAGTGGAGACAATTATGAAATAGAGCATGTGAGAATAAAAATGGTTTTGCTCTATCCTTCTGTACTTCTGTGAGGAAGGTAAAGAGACTAAAGGAATCAAAGAATGTTCCTTCTGGCGATCAGATGGCTATTGGTTTGTTCGCTACTCCATGGAGTTTCTACTATATATACAGCAGGGGTGAATAACTTTTGTGAAGCCCGGCAATTAAATCTAGTTTCTAGTTTTTAAAAATTTTTTTAAAGGCGAGTTTTCTTGGCGTTAGCGTAGTGCATCTAACTTGTCAGCGCTTAGGCCAACCACCCTCCTCTTTAGGGTGAATATTATTAGGTGTACAAAATTTAGCCCGCTTCTGCTGATGCATCTTTTGAATTTGGTATTCAGCACAGAAGCAAGGATCAGCAGGGAACTTGCCTTGCTTATCACAGTGGTAATGTTTGCTGTGGAGTACAAAGCAGTGAAAGGGTTGAAGTTGGAGTGCTTCTGGGTGAAAGGAGATACATCAACAGTCTGCACACAAATAAGCCAGATCTGTAAAACATACATGCACAAACAACTTAACTCTTTGAGTCCCTGGGGGTTTAGCATCACGGGCCCAGGGGGTAGTAAAGAGAGTCATAAAATCAGTGCATCATGCGTTCATTGGGCTTCTAGGTAGGAACCTACCAACATATGATGCATTCCTTGGGACTCAAAGAGTCAAGTTCTGAAACGAGACCAAAGTCCAGAAGTGAGCAAATAGCCAGAAATGTCTGCTTGATTTTAAAGCTAGGGAACGCTTAGAAAAAGAAAAAGTGTGCACTCTTTTAGCAAGGGTCCAAACCTGAAATAACTAAAACCATTGCAAAGATATGTTCTGTACTAAAGTCATGGTTTCATTTCATGGACTACATGATTCGGTTCATGAGTTAAGTTTTTATAGAGATCCCAGGGGATCATTTTCAGAGCTATGGAGTTTTTGCCCTGTGTGAAGCTCCTGCTAGATGGCTAGTCATTGTCTGCAGAGAGACTGAGCCATATAATCCTTATGTAATGAAGTCAGTCCTCTAAATTGTAATCCTTTAATTATGTTCTCAAAAGATCATCGCTGATGTCTAGTTTCAGCAGTAATGTCAATTAGAGTCTAGGTATACTGCATCCTCAGTGACACAGGTCACAACAAGATGTAGAAACAGATGTGTTGCTGTGATTAAACTTAAGATACAGAAACAGACATAAAATTCTGTAATATCCAGTTGCACATGCTGTGGTGTTTGGTACTTTCAGAGTTAAGACATTTTCTCTCATTATGTTCATTCATTCATTCAGTGGCATGTCCCTCGCGGAACCTCGCTGCCATAACAACCCTCCGGAAAACCTTCCTATCATGAGCAAGATGTCCTGCGTCTGATACACCCATCTGGAGATCATCTGCCACATCCTGCACCCATCTTCTCCTTGGCCTTCCTCTTCCTCTCTTCCCAGGCATATACCCCTCCATTATTGTTCTCTCTAGACTTCCATGACGTTTCAAGTGACCAAAATATTTCAATTTTCTTTGTTTTATTGTCTTTACTAGACAACCCTCTTCAATATTCAGCTCTTGAAGTATGGATGCATTTGTTCTTTTCTTTACCCAAGATATTCTTAGAACCTGTCTGTAACATTTATATTCAAATGCATTTATGCGCTGTTCCGCTTGTTTAGTAAGTGTCCAGGTCTCACAGGCGTATGTTGCAATGGGAAAGATGCATGCTCTTAAAAATCTGACCTTTGTAATTCTATCTGTACAATTCCATAATTTATTCAGTCGTTTCAATCTTTGAAGAGCAATTGATAGTCGCCGTTTCTCATTATGTTAGTTCAAGTATTTATGTAATTTTAATAAGCGCAAATACATTAGTAACCGCAGCGTCCGTGGCTTAGGCGTTGCAAGTCTGACTCGTAATCCCAACGTACCGTGATCAAAACCCACTGCTGGCTGTGTGGATTTTTATCATGGTATGGGGCGTCGCAGGTCGACCCAACCTAAAATGGGTACCAGGATGGCCGTCCTGGGGAAGTAAAGACGGCAGGCGTAATGCTGACCACATTACCCACCCAGTGCTGATTGGTCTGTAAAAATATGGGACGCTCTTCCTATATGCCCGATGCGCCTAAGGCGTGAAAAGGAATCTTTACTTTACTTTACATTAGTAACTTATCCTATCAGTATAAACACTCCTTTACCTTTTACGATCTTTGTCTCATTTTTAGAGTAAAAATCATTGTTTTTCATTTTGTTGCCCCTTGGGGTTTTGGGGCATGTTGGGAAAAATAAGAATAGACCCACTGTTGTAAAAGGCATATATTTGGGGTTGTTTCCTTCGAATTCTGTGTGCATCTGCCTGAGAGGTGAGGAACCAATAGTCTGCATACAAATAAGCCAGATCTGCAAAACAGATGTTCATGCAAAAATCAAACACCCTAGAACAAGACCAGAATCCAGAAGTGGATGAACAACCAAAAAATTTCCACCAGCTGGTGAACGCTAAGAAGATGAAGAAGTTAATTTTTTTTCAGTGCAAAGACATCATCACCTCATTCTGTCAGTGAAACATATTTTTTTTTTTATCTGTTTACATTTAGGCATGTTCTGTCTTCTTTGATACCTTTTTACATGTATGATAAATCATATATAACCATAAAAGTATTATAAGAAAAGTACTGATTTTTTTTCATAGCCTTAAAACATATAAATTTTTTTTTAAATTTCAGGGGACAACAAGATGATGACCTAGTTGAAGAAGTGGGCAGTCCCCCAGATTTTTCAGGAGTGCCTCCTGAACTTGCTGCTGGCTATGTGATTAAACCCCAAGCCGAGAAGATGCGAAGGATTAGTGTGGGAAACATGGGGCAGGATGATGATGATGCAGCCAGTGATACTAGCAGTCCCAGAGCTTCCTTCAGCATTGACTGTAGGGGTTCGTTTCAACACCATCCTCTCAATCTGGCACAAAGATGTAAATTTATTGGCAGTAGTTGCATTAAAAATTGAGTACACATGCCCACATATCATTGTCACTCACATTTAGCAGGTCCTTCTGCAGGAAAGTCATCTAGTACCTTCCCAGATGTCCTGCCTTGTGATGTGAACTTTTACCCACAGAGTATCCTTGACATCTGTTGTCCTCCCTTCTGAGGTCAACCTCTGCCTTCATTCAAGAACTATGTCCTTCATTACCATTCTCTTCTAACCATTATGTCATTTAATACTGTCAAAATATTTTAAGTTTTGAAAAATAAAACTATATCCATAAGCCAGTTCTCCTACATGCTAATAATATCAAGCATTTCAGTATTTGTGCTCTTTTTAAGTCTTTGATACTCTAAGAATCTTTTTTTAACAGTTAAGTTCAAAAGCTTTCATTTTCATTTTTAATGATTGCAAAGTATTCCATGATTTACACCCATATGTTGCCACAGGAAAGATGTATGTTCTCAGGATTTTCACTTTTATTTGTTGTTTGTCTATATTGCTCAATAAGCTGTTCACAAATCATAGTCTTTTGAATTTACTGGTCTTAACTCTCTCAGCCTGAGCAATGCTCTGTATGTTGACTGAAAAGTTCCAATTTGACCAAACCACACAGTCTGTGTCGATCCTGTGTCCTGTACATAATGATTTGCATACTGCTCTGTATTCATTTGTAATATTCAGAACTACCATTTAAATATTCATGGAAGGTTACTCTTAACAGTTTTACTTTGTTAACAAGTGTTTGTTCTACATTTAGGCGCAAATTGATCCAGTTCATTGTAAGCATCATTTTCAGACAGTAAATTTTCTGATTTTTTTGTTCAGAACACAAGCACAGGCCGTAAAATACATCTTTCTGCAACTAAAGCTCCGAAATTGTTTCAGTCAGATGGTTTTCATTCTGATACTGATATTAAATAATTTACTTTTTAACTTATCTCAACAGAAGAGATAGAATTGAGACATTAGCTTCAACTGGGACAGTGCTAGGCAAGAGTGCCACAGGAATACAGAGAAATAAATATGTGAAAAACTGCCAGGAAGCAAGTAATACTGGCTAGCAACACATGTGTCAGTAAAATTTCAGGTGATAAACAGATTAGTGAGGACTGATTCATCAGTGTCAGTGCTAGACCAGACATCTGAAGAATGAACGAGCAAACTTTTTTTTTCTATACAAAGGGTGAAAAATGGGTCAAAATTCTGCCCTTTTAGTCTCCCTCCTCGCATTCAGTCCTTTATTCATACATCATTTCATAGGTAATGATACATATTTTCAGCAACATTGAAGTCTTAATTACAAAAGTTGGAATGTGATCTAAGTATACTTACATTACTAAAGAAAAATAATTCTTAGTATAATCATAAATAAAATCCAATAATATAAGAAATCTCATAGGTAACATAATATAAAAGAAAAAGGAGGAATATTATTATTATCTTCAGTTAAAAGAAAGTTAACATAATTTATGTAGGCTAGTGCAGAATTATGTTTTAAACATAATCGTTTCAAGTTTCAGTATATAATTATTTACCATTTAATGTATGACACTCTGAGAATTACCCTAAACAGAATAAAAAAAAAATAAAAAACATGATGATAGATAACTCTACAGACTTCAGAGAAGGATTACAAAGTACAACACCAGAACAATGTTATATAAGGGTGTTAGTATATCATAAAACAGATAACATGTATTTCATAATACTTTAAATATTACCAAAGATAAGATTACACAATATGATTGTCCAAGTTATTTGAATAGTACACTTTAGATAAATTAAACATAAATTATACTCCCACAGCCTGCTACAATCAGTACATAAGCTGTGTAAGATTAACTCTTTGAGTCTCAGGGGATTTAGCATCACAGGCCCAAGGGGTAGTCAAGAGATAAGTAAAAACAGCGCATCTTGTGTTTATTGGGCTTCTAGGTAGGAATCTATGAACGTATGATGCGTTCCTTGGGACTCAAAGAGTTAACTAAAAGTTACTGCCAAGCACACATATCCAGTATTTATTGATATAGAAAAACACACATACCAATCATAACCTATGTGGGTTGAACAGGATATTAGTGCTTCACTATTGCTACAACTGTAAATTACTATAAATTTAAACATTTGTTTCTGCTCTACCAGTTGAAAGAGGGGAATCAGTGGACAGTGATGACAGCAGATCAGAACTGACAGCTTTTCTGCAAACACCCAAGCCAAGATTATTGGCTCCCATAGCCTCATGTGAGACGCTGACGGACCATGATGTGTTGGATGTACCATCTATTGCACATCAGGAGTATGGATCGCTGGCACATCCTACAGGAATCATTCTTTCAGACTTTGACCTGGAAGAAGACTCCAGTTCAGATTATTTAGATTCTGCGGATGACAATAGACTTCTGCCACCTTCCATGGTTTCCACTGTTGCTGGATCAAATTCTTTGGATTCTTTGGACTCCCCATCCACTCCACGGACAATTAAATCAGCCATTAGCTCAGATACTTTGACACCTGGCACACCTAGAACTCCAGGCACTCCTCGGGTTCAATCAGGTGGTTCCCCCTTTGGCAGCCCTAAACGTGTTCCAGTACCAGGGCTTGGTTTTAAAGGGAGCAAGCCCAATGGAAATGCATCAGGAAGTCCAAAACGCCCTTCAACACCCAGCAAAGTTGTGGAAACCTCCTATACATTGGATGCTTTAGCTCTGTCACCAAATAACAGCCCAGTCCGTAATTCCAAGTCACGACCCATGTCATCTCCAGTAAGGATACCATCCCCATTACTTCCGGGAACACAGAAGCGGGCATCCTCTCCAGGCCGTATTACAACATCCCCTGTAAAATCTCCTACTTCCAGCCCCAAGCTACGACGAGCACCTTCTCCTATAAGCTACAGCTATTCATCTCCTAACATTGTGGCTCCTCAGATCAAGATTCGCCCATGTAAGTATACTTTCTCATAGTATGCTGACACATATTTTTGTTGCATAAAACACTTGCACTGTTTCTTCTCTGATAGATGGTTGGGTGGTCTCGAGGCATGGTGTCCAAATGAAGAAAAGACTCGAGTGCTAGAGGTTCTGGGTTCAATCTCTAGTAAGGGCTGGGATTTGTTCACGTGGACTAGGACTTCTAGTAATTTCCCCTGATCTCTGGGTAGTGAGATTGAATGCCCCTGTGCATTGTGAAAAGAGTAGCCTAACGGTGCTGCCCAGGCAAATTTGGAATTAAAAATCTACCCAAAGTATTTCAGGATCCTCGCTGCTGCTACAGAGCCGGTACACTATGCTGAGCTTCTTCGGACTCAGACTTGAGTTAGAAGAAGAACGGAGAACTTATGGGTTACTACCTGTGTGCCATGATGTTGATCCGTTGTTCAAACCTCAAACATGATACCATATCTTGGTAATTTACTAACAAAGTGACTAAGCTTTGATGCTAGTTAGATTTTTCTTAACTTCCACAGTTGTGAGTTAAGTCTGGTCTCCAAAACTGCATTTGAGACTCTTCAAGAAGAAAAGTGCCGATCACCATATCTAATAACACCAGACTGTTGAGCTTCATATCATGGCACTCCCCTGTGACACTATATGTCATAGCTTATAGTGAAGTATGCACTTCAAAAAAATTATGTATTATATAGGGATAATGTGCAAATCACTGAACTGTTAAGTCGAAGTACAATGGATCTACAGAAAACAATGTTGTCTAAATGTCATAAAATAATGTCACCACAGCACTTTGGGAATCTCCAAGAGTGATTTTTATCCTTAGATGTCTAACAGTGGATGATTATAATTCTATTTGCACACACTTTTTCTTATCTCTGCCATGTTCCTGCCTAGTTCCACATTAGATTTTGATTTCCTTGATTGTTGCTGTTTGTTTCTGTCTACAAAAGTAATCCCTTATTGACAGTGTCAGGTCTATTTTATTCAGCCTCTTCCCAATCCAGTCTAGCCCCTTCACTGTGGTTTTTATAGGTGTCATAGCTTCTTCGTGATACCAAATTAATATTAATTTTTTTCCTCATGCAGTTTCAGGGAAGAGGGGCAGTGCTGAAGCAGAAAGCATCAGTGCTCTGTCTACACCACGCAGTAGCCTTGCACAAATGGAGGATTCACCACCGAGCAGAGCAAAGGCTGGTGCAGTTGTAACATCTTCTAGAGCATCAAAGAGAAGGTATTAAAATTTAATATTGTAATAACTATCATATATGTTTTGAGAATGGGGAGATACTTTTAATGTAATAGAATTAAATGCAAATTAAATGATACAGAATCACTAATGTAGAGCTTTTGGGAGAGAATCGAGCAAATGCTAATGAATCGAGACGTGAGGAGAAGGGGGTGTTGAATAAGGACACAAGCTGAAAAAACCTGATGATATTATGGGTTTTATAGGGTATCAGGAATAGGTGTAGACCAAAAAACACACAGAGAAAGGCATTGTGAGTGAAGTTAAAAATATAGGGAAGGCATAGGGGTGAAAAGCATGCAATGGCAAAGAATAAATAACAAAAAAGGAAGTCTATGGTAAAAATTTATTAGACTTTTGAAATTGTAAAGGGTAGGCTGTTGTGGCAGACACGTTAATAAACTTGTAACAGAATAGTAAGTGGTCCAGTGCTGCCTGTAGGTTTGTGAATTGTACGGTCTTCACATATTCTAGGCTGTCATGTATGAGATAGGATGGCCAGTTTCCTCTTCACCATTTTTATTTCTCAGACAGTGTCATGGACATTTTAGAAATGTTCTGCTACCAATTTTAGAAATGCTTTCATCATCATCGTCGTGTTGTGCCATTTTATTTGACATAGAACTTTACATAGTTTACTCTTCATTTCCGGTTTAGCATGTGCAATTGTTTCAATATTGTGAATCAAATCCAGCCCAGCAACTAAAGTTTTTGTGTTTGTATGCTTTCATTACCTCAATCCCTTTTTAAAAATAATTTAAGTGCCTTCTTGGTGATTATCTGTTCATGTTCTCTTCAAGATGTGCCCAATATATCACCTTTTTTTCCCCCCCATGTAACTCCTGACACAAGCTTTAATTCATCTCATTTTAATGGTCATCAGTTTCCTTAAGCATTTGTTTTTTAATGCATTTAACTTTCATTCCATGTTATTAGTGGTTTTCCAACATTCACTAGAATTTACTTGTGGTTTTTAAAATGTATGCTATGAATATTTAAGCGGGATAGAAAACCAAAGGAAGCACCTCCCCATTAAGAGAATTGAAAGTTGTAAACTTGTCAGAACAGTTAGGCATAGACAGATGTCTTCTGGACATGTTCTAAGAAGGAATGGACCTGAGAACTTAGTCGCAGCTGGCAAGATTGATGGAAAGAGAGCAAGAGGAAGAGAAGGATATAAATACCTGGATGGCTTGGCCAGATGGATTGTGTGAGACAGGAACATTGACCTGATCTGTGATTCTTGTGTGAGGCTAATATCTGCCCGTTCATTTCCCAACACACTAGCATGCCCCAGAGAAACTATCCAAAAAGATGCTAACTACTCAGTACTTCTGAAGCAGTGATTGTCACTCTGTACAGAGCATGTCTGTCTCTACCTATTTCATCTGTATGTGTATCTGGTTTTCAAGTCAGCAAAAATTGCTGTGACTGTCTTGTAAGGAGAGAAATGCACAGAGTTAAGACAGGTGTCTAGTTTGCCTGAGCTCGAAACAATTTTCATTTAGTTTAACTCATTTGCGATCTCTGATATCTTTCAATGTCTTTATCCTGTGGGTGTTGGTCAATTTTTAACTGATAGTAAATAAGAACACTTGTTTATTGTCATGATTGCCTAATCAATCAATGGTAGTTTGATTTTTGATTTGTTATAATTATTTTGTAGCTTTGAGTTACCATTTATTATTCATTTGAGTTAGATATATTATACATTTGAGTAACATATATTATACATTTGAGCTACATATATTATACATTGAAAAGTGTCTTCTGTGTAATGGTAATACTTTTTATTGTTTTTAATTTGAAAGATCAAGTTCATCTGCAGCCACAACAGCTTTTGCTGCTGCTACTGCAGGTTTGGCAAGCTGTGCTGACCAGCAGCAAAAAGGAATAGCCCGTTACCTCAGTGTTGGAACTGGTCAGTATGCTAGTTACATTAGTGTACGTCATTTACTGAAAATAGCATATCACAGATTTTCTGTTTAGGATATTCAGGTGTGCGGGGTAAAGATCAGGCTGATATTTTAGCTGCTGCAGCTTCTCTCAGTGAGCTACTTATGATAAAGCAAAAATGGTGAGGGCTCTTTATGATCAAATGGATAGTGTGCTTGAAGAAAGTAGAGATTTTAGAAGATATTCAAGACTGAGGGGGAAACATAGGTGGAATTTAAATCAGGTTGCACCTGGCACTATTAGCATGTCAACTCTTCATTGGCTACTGAAGATGGGGATGAGGTCGTGTGTGAGAATGTCCCCAGTGCAGTGATATCAATTCTTAATTAATTTAATTTATTCATTAATTTCTTCATTCATTCATTTACCAAATATAAATATAATGCAGGGAGGTAACTACAGATGTGGCACCTTTCCATCTTTTCTGATGAAAAGTTTTCCATTGTGTTGAAGGGAAGCATGTTCATAGCAGCCCATAATAATGGCGAGTGTGACTAGCAGGACTATCAAGTGTTATGAAAAATCATTCACAATAAGTGCAAGAGATTTCAGGACCTTTTTTTTTTGCATGTATTTATATAAGCATTTGTTCTTAAATATTCTTCAGGAAAGTCTTCCTTGTCCTGTAGCTATTGCCTTTTTTCCTTACATTATTTTGTGTCCTTTGTAGGACAAAATATTTTCTTTATTTGAAGACCTACTCTGGTTTTTGCCAGGGGCCGCAATATAGCCTCGCCATAAATATGGCCTAAAGGCTGAACGTTGTTTCTGGGACCTTTCCTCCAGTTGATCCTAACCCACATGGTGGCACATTGTGTCATCGGGTTTTTATCGCTTGTGTGATGTCCTGGTGGGGTAGAAAGTCAGTCAGTCAGTCAGCTATTGCCTTTGTAGCCAGAAGATCAGCTATTTCATCTTTATGAGTGAACAGTCATTAACAAAGGCAGTCAGGTTATTGCAGGAGCAATACTGGTGATGGATTTATTTCCTGACCATTCCTTCGCAGCACAAAAGGCAATCCTGGTGAAACATTTTTAAACGCTGACTAAAGTACACATAGAACACTATGGAATACAACTTTTACTTTCCAGGACTGGAAGGTATGATGAACATAATCAGTTTCTCAGGGACTGTAATGAATTGAAAAACTTAATATTGTAGGCTTCTTAGGGCAAAAGTGGTAATGGCTATGTAAGCAAAGTTAACTGACTCAAAATTTGTTCATATTTTTTAAAACAGGTACTTTAGATGCACGTCCTGTCATGAAAAAGCGAGAGTCGGTGATCAGCACGGCTGCCACAATGCGTGTGCTGAATGTGCTCAAACACTGGGTAGCCAAACATCAGCAGGTAAACTAGAAGACCTAATTTTGTGCACACTGTTTAACAACTTTGCTGAACTGTGCATCTGTAGACAGTGACAGCATATTTTTATGTCGTTTGAATGTCTTTATATATGTTTGGAGTTCTTTGAGTAGTTTTGTATGTGTCTGTGGTATTTATTATTTCATAAAGGTAACCATTGAACACTCTTTAAAAAAATTTAGCATCAAAGGCCTAAGGGTAATGCAATTTTGAAATTTACAAGTGTAACACATTAAAGTAGACTAATTCAACTGCTGTGCAACATACACATATTATACATCAAAGTTAGGAGGCATTGTTGAGGAATAATATTAGAACACTGTCAGCAAAGTTTGACTTTATAAATGACTGAAACAAGTTACTTTCTTCTTCATCTAACTTTAAATAAATATGATAAAAACGTGTTTTTTTTTTTTTTTTTTTGAGACTTCTAAAGCCATAAATCATGTTGGTATACATGTAGAAGTCTGTTTTGCAGGCATGTTGTTTTCACACACACACACACATCTGGTAATTTGGTAAATTTTGCAAACATACTATATTCTAGGCATTTAACCATGTTTCTAAATAAACCAAATGGTCAACACATGTGTTATTGAACACAAAATCGGAAAGGAAGTTTGTGTCCAGTTTGCGTTTTTATATTGGTCAGTAGTAAATTAAAAACCTATATGCATCGTGCAGTGATTTGGGTCACTGAGTGGTTACCAAATAGTGCATGACGCATTTCTTTGGACTCATAGAGTACGGCACTGTACTGAAAGAGTTAATTCTGTACCGTATTATTCATTAGGTTCTTTAGAATTATTTTATGATTAATTTTTTTTTTCATGTGTGATGATTCATGCATAAACTACATAAATTACGTATAGCCAGTCAAAACTATTTGCCATCTTTTATGAGGAGAAATAAAAAATAGAGAGAAGAGCATAAGAAAGGCGCAAGAAATAAATACCTGAATAGTAGCAGTAGCAATAATTTAAATAACAATATGCTGTTCCACCTATCGAAGGTACAATTTGGATATAAAGAATTTTCTGTTTTGATATTGGATATTTTTGCTTTTCAATTACTTTTGATTATCTAACATTGCTTAGATTATGTATTAATTGCAACAGATAGTAGGAGTATAGACTGTTAAGTTTAACATATTTTAAGTATGAGGTCCTAATATAAAAGTGATGGAATATTACAAGACTCTTAACTTTTTCAGTACCAGAAGATTGTGTTTCAAAAACTTAAGGAGACAATAACAGGCACAATGAAAAGAGCATGACTGTATTACTTTCAAAGAGAAAAAAAATATTTTGCAGTATATTAGCATATCTGGCCAGATTTCTTTAGCATGCTGAAACCAAATCTAAAAATATAAAATTAAACACCATTTGGTGTATGAATAGTTAGTGCAAAACTCTGAGCTGTGAATTTCATTGGGAATGTTTATCGTCTGTGCTTCTGGAGATGTATGTTATATACTGTGTATTCAGAAAATGGCTTGTTACAGCAGACTGGTGGAGTGCTGTTTGCAGTAATACATGAGCACCTGTTGGTTTGCAATGACTGAATAGCAATTCTAGTGACAGACTGTAGGTTTTGGCATTTTTAGTGTCTGCCTTATGCATGTGATGCTTGAGCAAGATTTTGCTTTTTGCCGGCACTGCTGTACTGACTTTTTACATGAGACAGTGATGAGCATTTTTGTGTGATTTTAAGCAGCACAGGAATAGAGCAATTTTAGAGTGACCCATTTGATAAGAAATTGGAACCCCAACTAATAGCCTGATATTTTAAATGTACTTTTAAAATAATTATGATAACCATGATGTATAATCTAGTTGTGAAAAGATTTTATGTGATCTCGGATACGATTGTTCTATGTTACAATATATTAACACCTTATAGACAAACATTTTCTTAGCTTGTCCACAAAGCATAATCAAGACGAAAAGACAGATCTGATTCAGGACTTCTTCTTTTTCTTCTTCTTTTTCTTTGCGTTCACCAACTGTAAACTCTGGTTGAAAGTTTTGGTTGTTCATCCACTTCTGGACTGGAGTCCTGTTCCAGAACATGAGTGTTGCGTGTGCATTCGTTTGACAGATCTGATACTTTTGTGTGCATACTGTTGGTTCCTTGCCTCTCAGGCAGATGCACTCCGACTTTGAAGGAATCTCCTAATTAGTTGACTCTTATGACATGCTTTTGGGTAGGCAGTGGGTCTATTCTTGTTTTCCCCTTTAATAGGGCCCTGGAACCCACACCAGGGTGATTCAGGACTCATCTGGTCTTGTTAGATGGTAAATCATAACTGCCCATGATTACCAGCATGATACAATGATGTGGCGCAGTGATTTCGGTCACAGGCATGAGGGGAAGTTAAGTCTGATGTGATGTGTATAAGGAGATATTCCGTACCCCACTTGGGCGCCAGTCCTTCACTGTTCTGGTTCTACAGAACCTCATGCAAGACTCCTGCTGCACGTCCCCTTCGTGCGCCACGGATAATGTCTCAAATGAGCATTAACAGAGTTTGCAGGGAATCTTGGAGCTGGCGGCCCCTAGAGGTGTAATGTCCTTTCTGGCTCTCACCAGCCCGCCCCCAAACGCATGGGTGAAAAGTCTAACAAAACTCATTCGGAACACGAGTAAGGGTTGCTTGCCAAATGTACCATCAAATGACAACTCTGGGTTAAAATTCAGGAGCGAATCGAAAACTGTGCTGCTGAGACTCAACCCTGACCGAGAGATTTACCCGCAGCCAAGACGAGTAACATCTCTTGTGGGCGATTTCTCGCAGCAAGATCCTACCTACGTACATCCTCTGTCAATCCTCAGTGTCATCGTCACCGCGCTGAGGTACACCACGGCAGCAACTTGCTGGCTAGGAAATAATGTCCGACAAAGTTAAACCCCACAGCACACATGCAAGCTCAAAGTCCAACGATCATAATTCATACCGAATAGGAAAAAGTCCAAATGTCCGTATCCACTGGTCCCACTCGCCAGAGTGTTGGGACCAAACAGGTGAAGCCACGCCTGACGCATTTTGCTTCCCCATTCTGTCGTGCTAAGGGCACAGCTGAAACAACGTTAAAGGCGTCTAACGTACGATGAAAAAGAATGTACCTATTTGTGTGGCCACAAAAGTCCTGGACCTGCGGGCTGCTCCCCGCTGATCTCCGGAGAGCACAGCCTTGTAGCGCGGGAAGCTCAATACACGGTTGTGAGGTTAAGCAGTCATGGGCAGGACGTGACGATTCCTTGGGTGAGCCCAGAACCAGAGGATCATGTGTCGGCTCTGCATTTATGGAAGCCTCCTTGGATGGCGGGGAATGCCCATGAGCTGCCCCTGCCTTCCCTTGAGGGCTGACAATTCTACCTAGGGCTGCCTTAAGGAGGATATTCCGGGGACCACACCTGTTAAAGGTCAAAGAGGACACCACACAAATGAGGCAACATCTCTACCCACACAAAACAATGGCCACAGTCAACCTAGAAATAGGGATGACGTCTTCCCTCGAAGTCAGAGTACATCTGCCGGAGAGGCGGGGAACGAGAACTGCAAACAAATAAGCCAGTAAAACGGATGTACACGCAAAACTCAGGTCAAGGTAAAAGCCAAAAAGTCCATTTGGACGAACAACGGCGATTTACCGCCGGAATTCACAGCCGGTGAACAAGAAGAAGAAGAAGATACAATGATGATGAGGCAACCTAAATATGTTCATTTGTAAATGAACACAAATTAGTGTTTTTGAATCTGTTTCTCAAGTTTAAAATAGTATAGCTATGTTATCATTCATATTAAAACTATCTTTTAATCATGGCATATGAAATTATTGTTATTATAACATTTGAGACAAATTCACCTAACGACTTATTTTATCATCAGTGATTTTTCTTAAAAATTTTTTTGTTTTATGTCACCCATGTATTCAGAACTTTTGATTGTACCAAATTTAGTCCCATGACAGAAATTGTTGTATTGATGTTTGGATTTCTCACGGTGTAAGGACCCTCACAATATCTAACTTGTCATACAATTCACCACCAAGTGGTGCAGAGCCAACCAGTCTGTCTGCCAGCTCATTAATAATATAACTAGAATAATGTTACATAGAAGCCCATAAGGCCAAAGAAATAAGGGAGGCCGAAAACACACAGTGTACTTAATAATATAACTAGCATGTTGTTACATAGAAGCCCATAGTGCCAAAGAAATAAGGGAGGCCGAAAACACACAGTGTACTTAAAAATATAACTAGCATGTTGTTATATAGAAACCCATAGGGCCAAAGAAATAAGGGAGGTCGAAAACACACAGTGTACTTAATAATATAACTAGCATGTTGTTACATAGAAGCCCATAGGGCTAAAGCAAATAGGGAGGCCAAAAACATGCAGTGTGTGGAATTAGAAGCAGTGGTACATCAGTGCTGGGAATAATGTGGAGTGGGCTGCATGAGATGGCAAAGGAAAAGAGACATGGTTTTGTGAGGGTCTTTTTTTCATTGAGGGAGAGGGCTATTACACTAAACACACACACAAACACACATATAATAAGAAATATTTTCACGCACTATGCAAATAGCTGAAAATTAGGGTCAGCGGTATAGCATCAGGTTAAGAATTTCCAGAAAAATTGGGCCAGCGGTCTGGTAGGGTTAACATGTTTTTCTTGCAGTCTAGTCATGCTTGCAGATTCACAGTCATCACTTGGTTCTCTCATTTGTTTTACTTCTCCTAGGGCATTCAGAATACCTGGTTTATGGCTCGCCTACCCTACACAGTAGCTTTACCCAGTCTTCCATTGAAGCCACACACAAAATATGCATATGCTATTTATTTCTGTAGAACATACTGTGTAAAAAAACTGCATCACCCATAAACACATAATTGTAGATAACTGAGAGACTAATTACATACAGAAAGAAGTTGAATAAGGTAGACCAAGAAGAACGTAGAGAGATAATATACAGGCAGAA